GACCCTGACTCCCCCCAACACCCAGCCTTCTGCCCTGCACCCTCCACACCCTCTAGCCCTCTGCCCTGACCCTGACTCCCCCCAACACCCAGCCTTCTGCCCTGCACCCTCCACACCCTCTAGCCCTCTGCCCTGACCTCGAGTCGCCCCCAACACCCAGCCTTCTGCCCTGCACCTCCACACCTCCACACCCCCAGCCCTCTGCCCTGACCTCGAGTCCCCCCAACACCCAGACTTCTGCCCTGCATCTCCACACACACCCCAGACTTATAGAGAGAGACCTTCTAAAAAACGTTAACATGTATTACTGGCACGCGAAACCTTAAATTAAAGTGAATAAATGAAGACTCGGCACACCACTTCTGAAAGGTTACCTACCCCTGCTTTACAGTGTGGACAGAGCGCCGCTTGACTGATTTCCAGGGAGTCATCTCACAATTCCATGGGACAACTTCTGTATTCCTCTCTGTCCCAACAATCTGCAATCCACTTTATTGAAAATGGAGGCCCCTTTTGTGAGTGGCAGCAACTCAGGTCATCGTTAACCTGTTCTCTTCTATCACCAATCAGCAAATGCAGTATCTGAGAACCTCTTGGGTTTGCAATGGAGAACAAACTGATCAAGCCTTTTGCCAAGCAGGCTGCTTCAAACTTCCTGTAATGTGCAGGGCAGGCAGTAAAGTTTTCGCACAGTGCACCTAGGTCCTAGGCTAGAGCAGCCACATTTGGAGATCGGGGGAGGGCACTAGGGACTCTGAGATATGGTTACTTTGAGCATGGGCTAGGAAAGTCTTAACATTGGGTTAAAATACAATGTAGCTGCTCAAGCCCAAGGTTCCGTAACGCTGGTTAGCTGAGTCAAGTCTTGCTAATCCTGGGTTTACATTATAGCGTAGACATACCCATAGAGGCTCTTTGCCTGTTAATGCAGTGGTTCCCAAACTTTTCAGGGTTGTGCCTCCCCCTTATCCCTGTCTGCACTCCGGCTGGGAGCAGGGCCCCAGCTCCAGGGGGTGGGTGGGGGGGTGGAGACAGGGGTAAGAGGGCTGAGGTTGGAGCTGCATCTGGGGGTGGATCTGGGGTTCGGAGTGGAGCTGCAGCTGGGGGCAGGGCTGGGGCCAGGAGCAGAAACCACGACTGGGGGCCGAGGCTGGGGCTGGAGCCAGGGAGAGGAGCCGCAGCCGGGAGCCAGAGCTGGAGCGGAGCAGAGGGCAGAGCAGGGGTGGGTGGCTCCCCCACCCCCTGCCTCTCATGGGGGCTGGCCCGGCCCTGCACCCTCCTTGTTTGGGGACCTATGTGTTAACGTACGTCTATGTTTTAGTCACGGGTATTTTTAGTAAAAGTCATGAAATTCATGGCCCGTGACCTGTCCATGACTTTTACTATATACCCCTAACTAAAACTTGGACGGAGGGCCCTGGCTGCTCTGGCAGGGTGATCCGGGGACACTGGAGGAGGTGGCTGGAGGGAATGTTGACAGGGCTGGTAGGGGCTTCCCTCCTAGACGGCGGAGGGGCCAGGGGCTCTGTGCGCTGCTCATGCCACAAGCCCCGGCTGCGCAGCTCCTATTGGCAGGGTGGGGCTTGTGGGCGCGAGCAGCGCATGGAGCCCCCTCACCCCTCCTCCATCTAGGAGCTGCATGGCCATGCCAGTGGGAGCCCCCCACCCTGAGGTAAGCGCCCCTCCCTCCCAAGCCCCCTCCCCCACACCCAAACTGTTGTTGCTGTTTATGTAGTTTTATTTAATTAGCAATAAGCATTTACAGCTTTAGTTTAAAGTGTTGGTGATAAATTGAAAGAAATAAAATAAATGAGAGAAAATCGAAGTATCATTTGTAAAATGTTTGATAGATTTATTTTTTTTATACTTAGTTTTAAACACTTGTAAATTCAGAGTCACCAAAAAGGTTTTGCGTTAAGGAGTATGTAATATATAGGTAATTTTCAGTAGCAGTAACCTAGAAACGAAACAGTACTCAGTGTCAGGCAAGGGAATTGAACCAAAAGAAAAGCCATTAAATGCTATCATAAAGAATACCATTATTCATGTGTTTTAGGGCTTGTATATATGGGGACATACAGGAAAGTTAATCTGAATTAACTAAAGGTGTGAATTTGAAATGAATTAGTTAAACTGCATTAAAATCCCTGTGTGGATGCTTTTGATTTAGGATTAAAATGGCCTTAATTTGATTTATTTTAACTTATTTTGAAAGTGATTTAAGCTAAACCGAATTAAGCCACTTTAATGTTGAATAAGAGTGTTCACATGGGGTTTAATGCAGTTTTACTGATCCACTTCAAATTCAACTTTACTTAATTCAGATTAATTTTCCTGGATGTCCCTGTGTAGATGCCCTTACATTGGATCAGATCTCTGCATGTATGTTTCATTCTCTGCTAAATAAAGGCAGAATACCTTATTCTCCTGGATTTTTTGTAAAATGTTGGTTTAGAAGGTGTTCACCAATTGAGATGGCACAACTCAGGATTCTGGCTTTAAACTTGTTTTACATAAAGGCAGTCCTATTCCCAAATCCCACTTAAATACCTGTTAGTGAAATAGATCTAGTGGGCAGAAAAAAATCTCCAAGCACCAAGACTTGTACAGAAAAGTTAATTTTAATATATACCTGGGAAAGCTCTGGTAAAAACTAAACTTCATTGGATTAAAAAAAAATACAAAACCAATCCCCAAAACAAGAAAAAACAAAACACCAAATCTTATATTGGCAGTATTAGTTAACTGAAATACTTAGGTCTTTAAAAATAACTCACCTGTATTATGTTTACAGGTTAGAAAAGAAACTCAGAAACTAAGGGAGTTTGAAGAAGGCCTTGTGAGCCAGTACAAGTTTTACCTGGAAAATCTGGAACAAACAGTTAAAGGTATAGTGTGGATTTCCCTCATTTCTTAGTTAAGTACATTCCTAGATACAAGGTCCTAATTCTGCCATCAATTACACATGCATAGTCCCGTTGAACTGAAAGGGCCTAGTTATGTGCACAAAGTTACTCGCCTGTATAAGTGTTTGCAGGATAAGTGTTTATCCTTGGAATTAATATTGCTTTCTGCACCTAGCATTTTCTGATTGTTATTTCATAGAAAGCTGTACTTAAGATTTATTTTACTAAAACATCAGGAAAGCCGCCAGAAAAATACTCAAAAATAATGCAGTAGCTAAGTTTTGCATAATAATAACAAAAATAATATTTTTATTCAGACTGGAAGCAGAGGAAGCTGAAGAAAAGTAACGTGATCTCATTAAAAGCATATAAAGGTCTGGCAGAGATTGCAGTCAAGTGTCTGTGTGAGCTTCTTGTGGTGTTGCCTCACTTCAATTTCCACAATAACATCATTGTCCTGATTGTACCTCTCATGAATGACACATCAAAATTGGTGGGTATCTTTCTAATTGTTTGTTTGATTTTAAGAGGTGTTCTCTTATATGAAAAATATTTCTGATTTTTGAAAGTTAATTACAAAGCATGCCTCTCTTTTCAACACTTTGTTTTACAGGCTTTCTCTCTGTACTTGATGACTTTTTTATTGAAAGTGGATATTCACACCATTGTAAATTTTGACATAGAAACTTAGTTGAGTAACTATTAACATGAACTTGTCTCTATTTTATATCATTTTCTGAGAATAAACATTTCAATTAACTTTACAGATTTCTGAAATGTGTTGTGAAGCTGTAAAGAAGCTCTTTAAACAAGACAAACTGGGCTCTGTTTCTCTGGGTGTCGTTAAGGTGATTTCTGGCCTTGTAAAGAGCAGAAATTATGATGTTAGACCTGAGGTAAGTTTCTTTTTGTTGTACTTTTTGAATTTTCTTTTGACAATGGCAAAAACAGTGAAAGACTATACTTAGCAAAGCCATCCAGTATTTCTTCACTTTTCCTGAGCATAGAACAAGTTTAGGGCTTCTTGACTTCCCTTAAAAAGGATACAAGGGGTGTAGTCTGTTTGATTGACAAACCTGATGCATTTAAAGAACTTCCTCTTGTTGCTTTTTGCTAGGTGCAACTAATTTTGTGCCTGAGCTTTTCTGATTTGGTCTCTTCATGCTTGTGCTGCTCTTTTGTACTCCTTGGTTATTCATGTTTCCTCTTTTTGTAGGCTTCTTTTTTTATTTTCAGGTAATTAAATAGCTTCTGATGAAGCCATATTGGACTCTTACTCTACTTCCTATCTTTCCTTTGCATGGGGATAGTTTACAGTTGTGCCTACAAGGGGTGTAGTCTGATTGACTAACAAATTAAGGCATGCTCAGGTTATGGGTTCTAGTCACTGGATTTAAACCAAGAAAATAGGTTAAGGTGACTATGTTGCAGGAGCCAGAGTTTATAATCACAGTCACTTAAAGGAAGACTGCTGTAAATTAATATTTTATGAAAACGCATTGTGTATGTTTTCTAATTAACTATATAAAACTGTATGAAGATTCTCCAGTATTACATGGCAAAAGCTCAGTCAGACACACCCAATCTTGAAGTTCCTGATGTTGATAATCTGCTGTTGTAAATTTGCTGCACATGACTTTGTTAAACTTCAGGCACTAAATATGTTATGGTTTCTTTCTCAATTTTAGGTGCTAAAGATATTCCTTCATCTACGAATTAAAGAAGTAGAAGTAAAAAAAGACACAGAAGACATTACTGCAAAGAAAAGGTTCATGTCCTGTAAGGAGAAAAGGAAAAATCTTTCAAGGATGCAAAGAAAGGTATAGTTGAAATTGATTCCTCTGTTACCTTCATTATCCTTTGGCGCTGGTAAATGTGCTGCATTAGCACTATGTATAGAGCATTTTGTGGCACATCAAGGAATTTTTGATTCCTAATTAATTCCTAATTCTGTCCTTTTCCCTGTATTTATTATAATTATTAGCAAAACTTCTAATAATGACTCAGTTCTGTTTATTAGTTGGTGGGAAGGGGGTGGTTAGAAAACGAGTTACCCTCTAGTTGCCCTTCTGCCATCATTAAGACAACTTCATTCCACCACGGAACTCACAAAGGATCAGCAGAGCATTGAACACGGTTATTCCAGATACCTGTGGACCCTGGGGCTCCAGGCTTAGTGAGAAGTGGAATTTTTTAATTTGCCAGAATATTAAATGTCTTTAAAATGAATATATTTTCAGTGGAAGAAAGCAGAAGAGAAGCTGGAACGAGAACTCCTGGAAGCAGAAGCCTCAGAGAGTAAAGAAAAAAAACTGAAACTGGTAGGGAATTGGAGAAATTCTTTTTCTGCTTTTGCATGTGTTCTTGCAAGCAATTAAAACTAGTTGTCTGAAGTCTATTTTGTGGTCCAGTTTGTTGTCTTTTCTTTGTCAGATTAGCTCAGTAGGTAATGATAGTGCACTAAGAGGGTAGTGATACGGGCCATGGAAGACCTCTTCTCAGGCAGAAAGGGTATTGTATGTCATGAGGTAGGAGCTGGGGAGGGTTCATTTTTTGCAACTAACAGACCTAGCTATGTTGAGGACACTGAAATTATAAAAACACAGGTGGAGCACAAAGAAAGGAAAAGGATACCTGTAATTTATAACTGACTGAGTAGGTTACAGTCTACAGCAGACTGGAATTACTTGAATCTGTAATAGGGTTCCTTTATGTGTGTCAGAAAAATTCTGCTGCTAGAAGCCCTATCAGTGTTTATTATGATGTCAGTTTTCAGTTTCAATTGTGTAGTAGTCCTTACCCCAGGGTGACAGGCACGCTGGTAGCCTGACACTGCCTGTTTAAAATAGCTTCCATTTAAATATGTGCAACTGTTCAGTATCAGTTTGTTGGCATTTATTTCCTTTTATTTATATTTAAGCAGGTCTTCTCCATTCTTTCTTGGAATGAGATGTTGTGTCAAATAAAGCATGATTTATCTTGGTCAAATTTAGAAATATTGCCATTAATTTTAGTTTACTACAGAATCTAAAATCCACCTGCTGACTCAGTAGTGTGTCTGTATCCTCTGTGATAGGAATTTTTGGACAGCCATATTTGTAAATATTAGGATTTTGGGAGCTAGTGAGTTCAAAATTCAAAAAAGTAAGAGGAAAAAGAAAGCTTTGAGTTCAGTTTAAATGAATCAGCAATACCTGTTTTCTTTGCATACTGATATGATTTTATGTACTTTTTGCCACAGCACACAGAGACTCTGAATATTGTATTTTTAACTTACTTCAGAATACTGAAGAAAGTACAGAAATCCCCTCTTTTGCCTGCGGTACTGGAAGGTCTTGCAAAGTAAGAGCTATGAGTCAATATTTTTTTCTATGTATTTTAGAAAAAATATGAGTCAGTAAAAAGACATTTTAAGAATCTTTTGTATGAGCAGTTCAACTGCATGAGGGATAGATAAATAAAGCACACCAAAATGCATCTGTTTGTATATTTGAGCATTTCTAACGTCTTTCGTTGTAGTATCTAATTGTCAGTATGGGATTTACATGACAAATATCCTTTGAATCATTAGGTGACTGCATTATTTATTCTGGTGTGTTAATCAAGAAATTGAAAGTCATTCTTTGCTCTGTGCAGTAGCGTTAATGAAAAGTTGAGATATGCCTCTAGGGATTGCATTATCAAGCTGTGCGAATATAGAGTAGATTTAAGAGGGCATTTGATGGAAGTAGAGAATGTAGTCTTTGGCAGGTCACAGAATGCTTTGAATGAGCTTGCAGAGAAAATTGTCTGTAGTTACAGAAAAATAAAAATCTCCTTGATTCTAGGTTTGCTCATCTCATAAATGTAGAATTTTTTGATGACCTGTTGGTTGTTCTACATTCTCTCATTGCATCTGGGGTAAGTTGAGCTTTTTCCTAATGAGGTAATTTCTTGAGATGTTTTTTAAAAATAAAGCTTTATCTATTGTGTATTAGCTATTCTTTTGTATTCCCAGGATCTAAGCTATCGGGAGAGCCTTCATTGCGTTCTCACTGCTTTTCATATTCTGTCTGGCCAAGGTAAGTTCTCTAAAATATAAACTTCATAATTTGATTTTAGCTGATAAGTAGGTTTGCTTCACTAACCTATTTGGGATTATTTTTTAAATAGGTGATGTTCTTAACATTGACCCTTCGAAGTTCTACAGTCACCTTTACAGGACACTATTTAGGCTACATGCAGGTAACTTCAGTGTCTTATTTTAACATCTGAATGCATAGACTGTTGATTTTATTTGTATGATACTCTTAAAAATTCTAATTTTAAGATGCCTTTGCCATCCTTTTACAGAAACAGATAACAAATTTGTTTTAACTGCTTGGTTCTTCTCTCAAGTTAGTATATATATTATGGCATTACTTAGTACCAATTTCAAATAGTGTCAGATTTCATTAGGGTCTAGTGAGTGACTTTGGATCAGTATCTAACCCAGGCACTTGTAACTTTAAGGTAGAACAGGGCCACAAAATCCACTAAAACCCTCTGGTGGGCCAATGGGTGTGACCGGGGGAATGTCACGCCCTACCGCCAGGGGGAGGGGTTGGAGAGCACATCTGCCTCGCACTCATCCCATAGCAACAGCTACTGTCCTGTGGAGCTTGGGCTAGGCATGACTTCCTGCTTCTGTCTATTGGCTCTTGCTATAGCATCATATGATGTGAATGTATGCAGGCGGGGCCCTCCCACCCTTTCCTGCCCCTGGCATTGCTGGATTGCTTTCCCTGAGCTGGGCTGTGGTGGGCCAAATAAAATGATCTGGCGGTTCGGATGCTGCCCCTGGGCTTCCAGTGGCCCATCCCCGATGTAACCTGTCCTCATAGAAGTCTTTTGACTCCATATTACTTGATTCTTTGCAAAGGCAATTGAAATCTCTATTGATCTTTTGCAAGTTTTGTATTTTCAACATTAATTGCTCTTAATATGTGCTTTAACACTTTATGAAAAGATGCCTATTAAAATAAGGATTCATTTCGTTAAAATGGGTTTCATTAACTTGTATAGGAGGAGCTCATGAATTAACTATATGTTATACATTGTTTTTATTGTATATGCATCCAAAATATTGGATGAGCACACTTTTATAACTATAAATAATTGATATACTGATCAGTGTAATTAGGACCAAAAGAATCTTTGTGAATTTAAACATCCTTGTTTGAATAAATGTATTGTTAAAAGAAGCACAGATATATTGAGTCTGCTCAGAGCAGGAATAGTTTTATAAAAGTAGATGCGTGTTTTTGTCTATCGTGTTAAAAACCACTGTTTGTTGAACTATTATTTATGCTTTAGTACATAAATAGTAGAATGAATAAATAAATAAATAGATCTAGGGCTCTAATTTCTAAACAACATCCTTCACAGAGTATTTTCTTTCTCGTGTGGAAGGTCTCTTGTTGCCTTTAAATGAGTTTTTACATATTCTGTTTTTTGAGGTGCTACGAATGATGACATGGTGATAGTGCTTCAGTGCCTGGATGTAATGCTTACCAAACGTAGGAAACAGGTTTCCCAGCAACGAGCCCTGGCTTTCATAAAGCGACTTTCCACACTTGCTCTCCATGTCCTTCCAAATTCCAGTGTTGGGATCTTGGCAACCAACAGAATATTGATGCAAGTAAGTTCTTAGTCACTTGCTGGAATGGAAAATTTCTTACTTGATTATCTCCTTTCTGCTAGCAGTGTCTCCCCCAGAATTGGGGGAGATGCTGGGCTGCAGAATTTACTAGTCCATGAATTGTTATGTAGTATTTAAATTTTTTTATTTTACTACAGAATATTTTGACATATTTTAAACATGAAAGCAGGATTTCCTTAAGTACTGCTAAGTCTGAATAGTGCTGAATATTTGGTTACACTCTTCAACTTGTATTACCATGTTATATGCATTAAACTTCTTTATGTGAGATAATCAATTTTTCTGTGTGATGGTGTGATAGACATTCCCCAAAACAGACCTCCTGCTAGACAATGAGGCTCAAGGTAGTGGACTTTATCTCCCAGAACTGGATGAGCCAGAGTGTTGCAATGCTCAGAACACAGCTCTGTGGGAATTACATGCGCTACGGGTGAGTTCCTATTTGGGTAATTGTGGGGAGCTTGCTAAACATTTATATGCTTAACTAAATACAGAGCTCAGATCAATGCTGTAATCTCTAGACTGTGGACTCTAGATGAATGACATACCCTTGTCTAACTTCTGCTAGCACAATACTTTCAGTTTGTTACAACAGTATTTCCAGGTAGGTTGTTGTGATGGTGACTGATGAAATCTTGTGTTCTCTGTACACCCTGTGTATTTATGCTAGGGAGTCTCATACTTTGTGGCTAGTGTAGGCCAAGCACGTTGCACCCACCAGGTCTACTTGCATCTCGTCATTTTTCCCTACAATCTCCCTGTGTGGCACCCTGTTTCAGGGCCTCCCTGCAACTCCCCGCCAACCTTTCCCTCATGACAAGAGCTCTGTGTGCCCCCATCCACACCTCTTTCACAGGCCATGGGCTCTGTGTGTGTTCCATATCCCACTCCCCTTGTACCACGGCAGGGGCTCTGTGCACACCCTCATTCCCCAGTTATTCACCATGATATGGTCCCTTCCTCCAGTGCCACTTTCCTTTCCCTGTCTTCTATACTCCCCCCTCTATGGATCCCTGCTTCCCTGCCAATCCACCCAGTATCTCCCCTTCCTCTCATCCCTGCTTCCCTCATCTCCACCACTTTTCACCCGCCACCCCTCAGTTCTCTCTGGTTCTCTACTCCCCCACTACCTCATCCTTGCAGTCCTGGATTCTCTCCTCCGCACCCCCTTTCTTCTTTCTGGTAGGATCCAAGCTCCTCACACAGCAGGTTAATGTGCTGCCTTTGATATGTATAAGCAGCAGCAGGGGGCGTGGCAGAGAGATTCCTCTGCCTGCAGCACCAGGCAGTCTGGTGGTATTGATTTTCCTGTGATTCAATCTTTTCCTGTCTTCTAATTTGCATCAGAATCAATAGGTTTGTACCCACCAGTGCCCAGAACATTTCTGTTAATTTTGAAATTGATTGGAATGTGGCATTGCAAAGTTATTGTGTTGCAGATAAACAGAGAAATGATATGGAATTGAGTGTTAGACCAACTAGACAAATTAAAAACTCCACCAACTAGACAAATTAAAAACAAGTGAAGTGGCTTTAAATTATTATAGTGAGATTAACTACCCATCTGAGGCAGGGACAAAGATGGCAGGAAGGGAAATCTTAACATTAACCTGTTTGTTTGATAAATTGTTTCATTGGAGCTATTAGCCTAATGGAAACCTTTATGGCCCTTATGTTTTATCAGTATGCTTTTAATAAAGCCTTCTCATTCCAGAAATTATTTAAGGCCTATCTCTGCAAATAGATAATGGAAGATATTTGTCTATAACCCTGGCTAGAACTATCTACTGGAAAAAAAAGAGTTAAGATTAACTATAATGAAACTGTCATGGACACTGCATCCAAACTATTTGAGTGGTTTTATGAGTTGTAAACATAACGTGTGTAACCCTCAGAACACTGGCTAATCCTTAGTCTCATCCTGAAACAGAAGAGAAGTTTGCTGAAAGTTTTCTATGCAGTGTATACAGTATTATTATTATTGGTGAAGTGCATAAGTACATGCTATCCTATCCCTCACCAATCCCCTTCCTTCCTTTCAGAGACACTATCATCCAACAGTGCAGAAATTTGCAAATCACCTTATTGCTGGAGCTCCAGCTGAAGGTTCAGAAGCTCTCAGACCGGATCTGAGCCGAAGGTGGGATATACGATGCATATGTTTTGAAAAATAGTTCATTGGCAAAGTAGAAGCTGTTTGTTCTGTATTGTAAGTTTCCCCAGTGAGTAATTTTCCATAGGCTGCAAGAAAATTATTTTTTGAAGAACGAAAGTATGATGGTTCCTTTATAAGTACCAAAAGCTGGCTGCTTTTTCTAAGGGCTTGTTTCCTGGCCATGCAGAGGATAAAAGTCCTGCAAATGCAGCATTCTCTGCCCTCAGAGGAGCAAAAGCACTTTGTGTTGCTAGTAGCAGCCTAGGGATCTTAATAAGGAGTAGCGTTGCTGGGCTGTGACAGTTCAATGAAAACCAATTGCGGTGCAGGGTTCTGGAGTATGTACTGATGGAAATTAGTGTAAGGATAGACGACTGTGTGGAACTTTGTCAGGCATGCACCGCAATCGTCTCTGTGAGCTGGACTCTAATCTCCCTCATTTCCATCTTTGTTCATGCCGCCGCTATGTAGTTAATCTCAATATAATAATTTAAAGCCTCTTTACATGCTTTTAATTTGTCTATTTGTCCTACCTCAACATTTCTGATTCATATAATTTTTCCAGTTGATATTCTGTATTACCGGTTATTCTTCCCTTGCATGACTGAAGTAGTGATTTGAGGAGCAGGTTACTTTGAGTTCATAGAGTACTGAAGTGAGACTCGTTTTATGGACATATACTTTATACTGTTTCTTTTAATTGTGTAAAACTGATCTTGTATTATAGGTCTGGCACAGAACTTTTTGAGACATATAATATGAAAGGAATGACTTTTAATCCTCCTGTAGCATCTGTTACGCCTAGAAAAAAGGTACTGTCTCTTTCAACATCCTTTCTTAAACACCCAAATAGATACTAGAACTCCTAACTCACTGCTCAGCACCAAGGGTTTTTGACTCTATGACCAGAGTGCTTTCCCAGCTAAGTTCTCTTTACTGGTGTGAGATATTGTTGACTGCTGACTGTGAAAGAAGAGAAATTGTATGAATAGTTCCATTTCCCATAGTACGAGCATGTGATATGAATGTAATGTCTGTTATTTTTCTGAGCTGTCACGCTGTCTTGTGCTCAGTGCAAGTTTGCTTCTATTGCCTTTGTATAAAAGCCCTTTCTTGTCTCAGAGTCTGGAATCAGCAGGATGGCCAAGTTCCCAGAGCCCTGATTCAGCATAATCAGTGCCAGTGTGTAACTGAAAAGTGTAAATATAAGAGGGGAACATAGAGCTTTTATGGGAGAAAAAAAAGGTTAACATGTCACAGAGCTTCACTATGAAACATTCTCCAACTGACAGCTCCTATTACATGTCACACGAGTGCTCTTCCCTTTATAAAGTGAGACTTTATCCCCACTTTCTCTTTTGAAAGTGTGGTAACCTATGAATTGCAATGGAGTCTCCTACTGATAATCTACTAATGTCAGCGAAGTCCTCTGACAGCACAGAATTTCCTTATTAAATAAGTAACTGACTCCTAGGAAAATAGCTTGTAAACTTGCCTGTTCCCCTGGATTATCACATTAGCTGCATGTCTGGCAGAGCAGCACTGGGATTGGCAGATGGAAGTAGAAATGTCTAGTACTTGAGTGAGAATACCTCGCATGTAATACCTTTGAATATAGCTAACAAAAAAAATCAGTAACTCTACGTTGTTTTACGTTAAAGTGACTTAGGTCTCTTAAATTTAATTTGGGGTCTTGTTTATTGCTTCTCTAACAAACTCTGACAGTATCTCATTTTTGCCATACCCTGGCCCACTTGCTTCTCCTCTGGAGTCTGCCTGCCGTAGGCCTTTGCAACATACTTCAGTGGGACAGAGCACTTCTGTCCAGGCCCTTTGACAGAAACCATGAGTGGAAATGTAGGCTCCTTTTGCCTTCTGTGCCTCTCCTTAGAGGCTAGAGGACAGTTTTTTTGAGAGGTAGTCAGTGTTTCACACTGTAGTATTCTTAAGAGAGTTATTAAAAATGTAGAGGAAAATAGTTTGATGTGGCAAGCTACCCTTAGCTTAGTTACAAAGAAGAAGAAAGCATGTCTAGAAAGTAAGTGCTTTCTCTGATCTCCCCTGCTCAGACTGACAAGCTCTCCCTGCTAGGTGAATAGGGATCAGTGAACATTTGCTGTCCTCACCTTCAGAAGGTGGTCTAGGGAAGGAAAAATAAAGTAGTAAAATTATCACTACTACTTTGAGACACTAATGGAAACCCCTATGTTGACCTTATTTAGATAGTTGTATAAATGATGTAAAATATATAACATTTTGATTCTTTCCAGGATAAATTTTTACAAGGGGATTCATTTCTAAATGAAGATTTAAAGGAATTGATTCAGACACATCTCAATGATGCTGCTGTTCACCGACCCTTGGATTTTGCTAAACACTTAAAGGAATCATCCCTATCATAAGTATTACAACCCAGTATAATTGACTTCTTAATTGGGGTGTGTGGGGTGTGTGTTTGTGTGTGTGTGGGAATAGCAGAAAGAAATTGTTGCCCGTCATCTTTACAGGAATTCAGATAAAGTCCTGCTATGGAAAGATAAAAATGTATGATCCATCGCTGATGCACACAAAGTAATAGCAGTATTTTGCAGTTAACCAGAACCTATTGGTTAACTAAGTAGGCTGCATTCTCACGGGAACCATACTGAACTGTAACAAAAGTAACTTCTGGAAGTATAAAAGTCTGAAGGCAGGTGACTTCAATATTGCTTGAGATGTATATTATTGCAATATTTTTTGTTTACATAAATATATATTTTGCAAGAGATTCATTGGGTTTATGTTTGTTTACAACTAACTGAATGCATATTTTAGGGAGTATTCACATAGGTTTGCGTTCTCTGATGCTTATTTTAAGACATCTGGGGATTCTGCATCCCAAGAGCAATAACTTGAACTGTTTCTCTTGTCTAACTTGCCCTATCCATTAATCTCTCTCTTTTAAATGACTTTTTCAGTGAAATCCTCTTGGTACTTACTGGTCCATTGAAGGTATTTCAGAATTGGGCATCATAATATGCTAAATTCCAGTGCAACGCATGGTATTTTGGATGTCACAGAATGAGGCATTCTGCAATATCTTCAGTGAACCAGCACTGTTAAAGAGATTCAGGGTAAAGATGTACACTTTTGTGTGTGTGTGTCCTATGAGTACTCGTCCCCGGCCTTTGGTTGGTTAGCTTAGCATAAGTTGTGTTTTTAATGCCATTTTCATGTCTGCTTTGCAGATAAACTGCATGAAATTATTTAAAAGTGAGAGTTCTAACATTCACTTTACATATGACTTTGTGTAGAACTGATTTGATGTGTGGTATGCTATGCAATGCAACGGAGGCTTCAGTTGTGCAAGGTGGTGGTTGTTTGTATTATCGTAGCACCCGGGAGTCCTAGGAATGGACCAGGACCCCATTGTGCTAGGCACTGCACACACACACACACAACAAAAAAAAAGATGATTCCTGCCCTCAGGGGCTTTTTTCACGTGGCTGGTAACCTTCAACACTTAGAAAATGTTTCCTTTGTTATAGAACAGATCAGACCTTTAGGTGCTACCGTAATTACTGTGAAATCTGTTTTAAATATCTAATTTAATAATACCACCAGGCTATCAATTTTCAATCAAAATAGGTTAAATAGTCCTAAGAAGTAAGACATAAATGCACAAAAATCTCACTTTCGAAGTAGGTACTGGTGAGTCCCTATAAATTAGTATATTTACTACCTGAACTGTAAAAAGGATCTATAGAATGCTAGTGGCTTTGTACAAATAGTATCCCATGTAGTCTTCTAGGTCTCATAGTAATTTATATGATCCCCCATCTCCATAGTATTTGAATACTTCTGTTTTTAAATGACTCAGGGGTGGGGGTAAGAGATGTGATTTAAGTTTTGAAAACTTTAGAAAGTGTCCCCATTGCCAACAGTTTTGGCAGTTCAGGAAAGAAGAATTAAAGGTCCACTTCGCAAACCATTTATTTGTCCAACATATACAAATATAAGTTTACTTTTCAAGTCAGAGAAAAAGTAGTCCAGGTGGAAAGTCAGTTTTAAAATACATAGTTTTTAAATTATGTAAAATTTATAAAAACTGGCACATACCGATAGAACACCGACAAAACATTTTGACACACTTTAAAGCAGCAGAATGAAGACAATTGCACAACTAATACATCAGTTTGAAATAGCCAATATATGTGTGAGAGAGAAATATTTACTGCTTTTGTGTTTGTTACTTCTGTCAACTGTGTAGCACTGCAGCAGTTATGAAATGTTGATCACAAATAGAAAATACTCCACCATCATTACATCTAATAGGCTAGCAACAACAAAGTGATTAATAATCATCTGCTGAAACTAAATTGCATTCTGAGAGCTAGAAGCTGAAGACTCAATTTTGAAATAAAAAGCCACTGACAGGTTCTCTTTTATAAAGTCAAACTGAGTTTAAAGAGAATGTGATCTTAATGTTGAGATACTTCTCTGTTAAAATCTTATTCTTGGTAACTTGATAGTGGTCTCTAGAGGCTAATTGTTATTTTCAGGAGATGGTTATTGAGACATTCCACCAAGTAATATTAGTAATAATAAAACTAAAAACAAATGTGATGTATGTTTTTAAAATGTGACATAATACTTTTATATCTTTTAAGGTTTTGTTTTTTTTAATCTTCTTAAAACTTGACAGAACACCAGCCACTACAACAATCCAGTTCCTGAAAACTGAGTAGTGTTGCAACACAGCCAAGACCTATGGCTTCCAACATCAATCCCATACAAGCATTGTTACCAGCTTTCACTATACATAGAAACAAATACAGACATAGGTAGGAAGGGTTAAAAAAAATGGTTAAGTGTAGAATAAAATGTTTTCTTTACAAAACAAGTAATAGGAAGTGGACTGCCCATGGTGAGTCCTGCTATCATTTGTAGGTTTCGGGAAGGTTTATATTACATACTGTGCTGTGGTAAATTATTTCCTATGAATAGTTTGTAATAAAAATGTTTCTTTATCAAATCCAGGTCCACAGATCAGATCTGTATGATGGCATTCAGCCTGAACTGCCAGGGAGGCAGACCCACAGCTGTCCATCTATCAAACCCATTAATATAGATCTGTGGACTTGTATTCTTGAAGAAAGGAAACCTGTGGGTAAACAGGACAAATTTTCTTAATTAACCAAACATCTTGATGTTAAATCTGTTTATGGTGTTTTAAATAAGTTAAAGCTGTTTAACATAAGAGTAATAGCTCTATATAATTTCATTTTGGGGGATTTTTAGGCTAATGAAAATGGAAAGCTTATGCGCTTCCTCTACTTTTGTCTGTGACCAAAACAACATGAATGCAATTAACAACACGTTACTTTTTGCATTAGTTGATTAATCTTCCCTATTTTTTAAAACTTAAATAAATCGATGTACATTAATGAAAAAAACCCATCCTAATTCAATATAATCAGTTTTGGAAAATTCTACCATGCCCACCTCTGTAAAATGATTTTATTTTTTTTAAACTGAACATGCAAAATGCTAGGTTTTCTCATTACCACTATGCTTTTAAGTAGATATTGTCCTGTAGCTGGTAAGTATTCATGACAATGGGGCAAGGCTAAAATAACTATCAAAGAGAAAATGTCCTTATGGATAAACTACATCCTGCAGTTACACAGTGAATGTATGCTAATCTGTTGCTTTTTAAATGGCTGCCAGATTTTATATGTTATGTTCGAGGATGCCCTTATCTAAATTTTCTTTCAAGTCTAGTAGCAATGAGAAATTACAGTGTTTGTGGCATTCCTACACAAGAGTTCTCCTTCTGCTGGATCTGTAGTAGACTTACAAAAGCTTCTCCCACATCTGTGCTGATACTGGTGCCCAAATTTGGCAGGAACCAACCATCTTACTTTCAGTGCTACTGGAAATAGGGGGAAGAGGGAGAATCCATTTATCAAATGAAGGGTAAATTTTTTATTAAAAAAATATTTTCATGCATCTAAGTGGATTTAACAATCAATGCAGGGGATATATTTAAAAAGAACTAAAACAAAAAAGGGATCAGATCTTCATCTAAGCTTTAGCCAAAGGACATATGAAAGATATACAGTAGTTATACACTATCAATGCAAATATTGCTTGAAATGTGCATATAAAACACCGTGTACTATCAGTTCTGCATTATGTGCCATGGAAACTGAATTTCCTGTATCTCTCACAGTGGGACTGGTTACTTTAGAATTAGATATGGAAGGACTAGATCAAAGAGCAGCATAGGGACTTTCAAGCAGCTATTTTTGTTCACCATAAACAGTCCTGAAAATTTTACCCTGAAAGCTGAAGTAATTGAGAGGCCTAAGGCCCATTTTCAAAAAAGATGCAGATAGGTGACTAGTGGGATTTTCATAAGAGCCTAAGCAGCTTAGGGTCCTGTAAAGTCAGTGGCTGCTACATGCCTACTCACTTTTCAAAATATTGTGTGTAATCTTCTCCAATGTAACTCTAAAAACCATGTTTAGACAAGTGACATGGCCCTGCTTGAAAATATTGCTAATTTCTCAGACTTCAGAATGGATAGCTGATATGGTTACTATTTTTAAAGTAGGTGAATTTCAAAATAAGTTCATGGGTTCAGTGAATGAGTACTAGGTATGCCTCAGTAAGGGAGTTTTTTGAATGTGTAGTTTAATTTTTTTCTGATGTTGGAATCAGCCTGAAGAGGGCACTTCCTGCACACAACAAGGTGATAGTTGCTTTCTAACTTCTTTCTGTATTCTCCTCTTTAGAAACAGCAGCTTTTTGGGCTAGAGGGCATTTCCGGGGATATAGACCCTCCAGCACAGAGAATTAATACCCTTTATATTAGCAAATCAGACTGCTTGAATCGTCTCCCTACAGTTCATTCAACTTCAGATTGTTTAATGGAGCCTTGCTTCTCTTACTGTCCTATGAACTTAGTTAACTGATTTGCCATTTCTTGATTTATTCATTTACAGCAATCCCTGCATCAGTCATATGGTCTGAAGTGTAGCCAAAGCTTGTGCTGAACAGTTTAGACAAGGTTCTTATGTATGGACATTAGAAGAATGATTGACCTCAGCAGTTTCAGTTGTGCTCTTACTTTGTATAAGTCAGTATGAACTGCTTTTTACTAACACTGGAGAATATGATACAGTTATAACTAACTTCTTAAAAAAATCATGATTTCAGACATATACAAAACTTTACAGCAGTGCTTCTACATAAACAAGTCAAGGTTTATATTGGAAAATAAATGGAGTAGCCTGGGTTCTTTACACACTCTGGATATAAGCAGAAATTATTTTCTCATTTATAAAAAATATTTAGATGCCTATAATATTTTCCATTCTCTAACACACTACTGTTGAGATTTCACAATTGAAACTTTAAGCAATTGCATGCTTCAAATAGTTATTTTCTGAATGTTTCTTTTCAACAGAAAATAATTATTTTTCCCCAAAACCAAAAAAGATGAAGCTGCAGTTTTTAAAAAGTACGGTATGATAAATATATTACACAGTGACACATACCTTGGAACATGAAAATAAATAATCATTCTTACTTGAAACACAAGCCTGGAAAACTAGAATTTGAACGAAGAAAATGTTGTCCTTGTCAAAAATATCACTATCAATTAGGTGTATTTAGCTGTTTGTACATGATTATTTTGTGATAATTATACTCAAAACGTTTACCATAGTTATTTATGGTTTATCACCAAAATTAAATCTGTGGTGCCAAGAAAGTTAAAGTCTATGTAAATCTTTTTACAATCACCTAACAGTGTTTAACAGGAACCATTAAAGGTGCATTATTTTCATACAATACACAGAACAGTCTAGTTCTAATTCTCTTCCCTTAAAGCAATTAGTGTTATCTTTTGTTTATTAAAAAAGACATGTTTCTGTTTACAAAGTACAATTTAAGAAGTCTGCTTAATCTTCCTCTCCAGATTTTGCAGATGTGAAGATATTTGGGAAGAAAGGAATCTCTCTTTCAAATGCTGGCAAGCGTCTTTCCAAACATTAGAAACTGTAACATCCCACTCAGCATTACTAGATCTGTATCTGTCACCAGAAGCACAGTCTGGAATAGGCCAAGCTAGTGCTGAATAGTTTAGGCCTCAGCAGTTTCCTTCATGGAGAATGCAGAAAGATATCTTAAATCAGGAATCCGTGATGTTGGTTCCAGTTATCAAGTAAATGCAAGGCTATGTGGAGAAAGATTGTCATATTTCCTCTATCTCCCTGTGTTTTTGTCAGCCTCAGAAGAGCTTTTTGCCTTTGCCATTTTAAGGCCTTTAAAGTCACCTGGAAAGGGGAAGAGATGATGATAGCATTTAAATTCAAATACAAGAGTATAAATGGGTGCCTGCATACCATGAAATACATTTTTAAGGAATTTTGTAACAAAATATTATTGGCAGCCTTATTACTTGAATTCTGATGAAGTGACACAGTAGATATAAATAGTATCTTGATCATTGAGAATGAGTGGAAAGGAAATACAGAAATGTATCACTGCTCCATGTGATATGGGATTATTAAGAATTGTCTGGGCAAGATTTTCTTCCATGTTAAGTAGCTGGGACCTTTCAGAAAACATCTTTTGGAGTTAGTGTAGGCCCAGTGCTAATAGTAATGTGTCTGGACCTATCGTCTGTCATATACATAAATGGTACACTGTCACCTTGGATTCTGCATTTGGTTTTGTCACTTTAGCTCAAGCAAGCTAGAAGAAATTTAAAAGATTGAGAAAGGAACAAAATAAAATTCTTAGACACTCTGCCACAAGTATTTCTATACAGAGATTTAAAAAGAGTTTATGTATGGAGAGAGGAGTAAGAGATCATATATTTTAAATTGAATATTATTAAATGCATATAAATTAATGTTTAGTAAAGTTCAGCTGTCCCATAACACAAAATGACGGCATCTCTTAATTAAGAGCCTGTGTGGAAGTACCAGTTAGCACACTGCATTACCGGTGGAACTCACTGTCACAGTGTATGTTGAAGCCAAGTTACATTCTAAGAGTCTTTTAAAAGGACTGGCCATTGTCAGGTTACTTGCTGTGATGGACCCTAGGACGATGCAGGCATAGTAGGCAAAGTAAAACTCCTATGTTCCTAGCAATTTTCACAGCATTTAGATTTGCATTTATCTTTAGGCTTTCATTGGACTGCCTGTGTATAGGTTTGTGCCAGTACAGAGTTATAACCTAAAAGCGTAGAGCGTTTTCATGAACTATTCTGGCTGCTTGTTGTACTTCACTATGGTTTACCAAGCACACTTTTGAAAAAAAAATAAAAAATGATAAATTGTACCTTGAAAAATCAACAGAGAGTATGTCTGGTTTAGAAACAAGGAGCACACATGTCATACCTGCATAGAACATACTGCTGGCATTTATGGATGTTATTCCATATTGTCACTAAATGTCAAACTGCCTGCAGATTTTTCATCTTTAGTCTGGGTATTGTCTGGTGAGCTCTGCAAAGGTGATGATGTGAAGCCACGATACTGTTTACTTGACTTGGTTAATTTCTTAAGTTCACTGGCAAATGAAATGCCTTTTCTTTTATCATCTCGTGCTGCCTGTAAAACAAACAAAAAACCCCCCACAGACATCAGAAACAGTTAAATTACAAGAACGTGTCAGCTCACTGATACATTGAGGTTTGAAATATGGTTTGGCTTTCATGTGAGAGCAAGTAGCAGCATTTTTCAAATCTTCCCTGTGTCAGGTTCATAAAAGAAGTGTCCTGACTATCTCACATCAAAAATTATTTTAAAACTGCAGAACTAGAAAGTTACTAAATATGGCCTTAAGCCTTAGCAAGTCTGCTGCCTAGATATCTATACTGTGTCTGTCATGAATAAGTAGATAAACTGTATTCACAATGTACTTCCTATAAATGCAATGCTAAAGAAGCAACATCTCTTTTGGGGAAAAGGAACTATATTCTCCCCTGCCATAGATATAACGCCAATTGGTAGAAGTAGTAAGTGGTTCAATTCTGCATTTAATATGCAGTTTCTCCCTTCTACTTCACAAGCGTAAAGAACTCCAGCCACAGCAGCACAGTTACTTTTCTGCTGGCTGGGAATAAAGGCAACAAAATGACAGCAGTTCACAGAGATCTGTACACCTATTATTTGAAATTGTACTTAGCCCATGGTAATACAGCAGGGAGATGGGGATGCAGAGTTACAAGAATTAGAATCGGAGAACTAAGACAGATGGTCCGGAAAGGTTAAGATTTCTAGGTATTGTAGCAGGAGCTGTATGGTGTGAAGTAGGGCCAAGGCTGCCTGCCGAAAGGTTTTTCTTAATGTAACTGATGGGTTTTAACAAGATCCTTTGTTTTTGGTTTTAATTTTGTTTAAAATTTTCTAGGTGTTTATTACGAAAATTGATGCAAAAAATTTACTTCACAGTTTTCTGGGTAATACAGGGGGATAGGAGGACAGGGGGGAAAAAGGCAGTATATAGAGAAAAGTAAGATTACTTCTGAATTAGCTTCCCACTCTGGACGGAGAGAAAGCAATTTAGTAACCTGCCCCTCTCCCCCCCTTGGGGAGTGGTCAGCACTAACCTGGGTTACCAAGCCACCATCTCCCCTGGTTCAGGGTCTGCGGAGTTCCAGTGCTTTGTTTTAGGAGCTGAGCACCAGTGTACATGTGCGTCCATGTGTGTGTAACTTCCACTAAGTTGCGTTACTTAGACTAATTTATTAACAACAAACATTTACCTGATGTAATGTAGTGAATTTTCTTCATATAATCAGTATTTTCATGCACTTAATCAGTTCAAACTTTGGGTGAAAATAGCTTAAAAACGGATTAAATAGCTTTTGTAAAACCTGGGAATTTTTCAGTTGAAAAACCAAAAATACTAAGCACCCCTGTATTCACACCCTACACACTACTGTAATAATCTTTGCACAAAATATGCCTTTGAGGTATCATTTGAAAATTAATAACTCATCACTAATATTTTTGTGATGTATATACACGGTGGGTATTAAGAGTTATGAATGTATGCTAGAATTATGACTAAAGTGTGCTTAAACCCAGCATGTCAGGCGGAGTTGGTTAAATAGGTCTGCCTTAGGTGGTGTTATAGTCTCTGTCCAGCCCAATCTTCAGATGAAGACAATGCAGATCCATTTTTACATATTAGGTAAACAAAGCTATTAAAGCTAACAAATGAGGGGAGAAACAGAATGTAGTGTCCTTCACCACCAGACTTCATGTTGCCTTCCTTACAGCTAGAATAAACTACTTTGTGGGGTAACCTTCAGAAGAATACATTGCAATGGTTTACTGGTCTATAAAGGTGGGGATGGGGGAGGGGGAGCAGAAGGGCAGGGACTGAACCTCAAGTGATAAGCAAATGAATCAACTGATTGTATACGATATTACTGTATTCTAAAAGTGTGCAGAAAACTAATGTGACAATATTATTGTGAAATGTATGTATTAACACTATCTGAGGAAATATGGATACTTACGTAATATTACTACATTTTAAAGTCTGTGGCCAACGAGGAGAAACAGATTCCCTCCGAGACAGGAGAAAAGGCAGTTACTTACCTGTCTTCTATGTGAATTATGATTGTATGTGGAATCAAAAGAATGGAAGGTTCATTTACATGCAGCAGGATGGGAAGCCCATGAGAAGGGAAGAATAGCATGAGGTCATCCTGCCTCCTGAAACTAAGTTACTGAGCTTTGGAAGATATAAGCAAAGAACGAAGCCATTTTTGGCATCCTTCACTAGACAGACACAAGGGAACAGAGCTCTAGCAAGCTGAGAAAGATGGGTTTTTCAGCCAAACTGTGGTTGAAGTCTCCGGAAACTGAATATAGGTAAGAAACCTGCTTAGGCAAAGATCTTTCAATCCAGGAAGATAAGGAAAGCCAGCCCCTTGTGCTTCTCTGGAAGGTCCTGATTGAGGGAAAGTCAGCCATGGCTGAGAAGAAGGAAGATTGGTAAGAGGAACCATCTTGAACAAAGCCTGGACCTTGCTAGATTAAGTTTTAGATAGATGTTTTCACTTTTATTTGCTTGCAACTCTAACTTTATTCCTTTTACTTGGCATCACTTAAATTTATTAACAGAACAGAGGTTGTTTTATTTTTTACTGTAAACCAACTTACTGCGCTGTTTAGAGGGGTGTATTTACGCAAGTTAATAATGTGGTATGCTTGTGTGTCTTGAACAAAGAAACCATATTACTTCTCTGAACTGTCCAGGAATGGACTGGACATTGCAGAGCACATGGTTTTGGAGAAATTCAGGGGTCACCTTGCTGGTTGTAACCAAGGCAGATGGAAACGAGCATGGGGTTGTAAACAGGCTGGTGGGATCAGAGCTGCTGTACCAGGGCTGTCTAGCACACACAGACTTCAGGGTGTGACCTGCATGCTTGTAGGCTGGTTGTGAGTATCCCAGGCTGGGAGCTACAGCAGCAAAGTATTGTAAGATGCCCAGAGTTGCAAGACAAGTAGTGACAACCCTCACTGGTGTGGACTGCACCTGGAATCCACAACAGGTATCTATTAGATGAAATAAATTAGTGGGAAAATAGCATTTTGCTCTCTGCTGCTGTCTTTTAGTGACTGACCTTATGTCAACTCCTGTAAGTTTTGTGCATTCTCACCTCCCTGCTGGGTAAATAAAACAATGACATGAATGGTGGGAGCACTCAGGGGTATCTCAAAAATTTAGATCCTCAAAACCCCCGCTCAGCTGCCACCTCATCCATGGACATGTGCATAGCCACCCAAGCTTGGCAGGATTCTAAGACTAAGCATCCCTCTCCCTCAATCTATCTCATCCATTACAGCAGGTGTGCTCCAAGGCCACCAGAGAGCATGCCTACCAGATCGGGGAACTTCCTTCTCCCTTAGTAGCCAATAGTCCAGTGGTTAGAGCACTCACCTGGATGTGAAAGAGGCAGTTGAACCTAGGTCTACCTCCAAGATGAGTGCCCTAACCCCTGGGGGTATTCTGGGATTGGTCTCTTGATGAAGCTGTTCCACTTTGTATAAAATATGTAAATATTCATTGGGCCTGAGAGTAAAAATTGACTCTCTAGCCGAGTGATTTGGGCTGTCTCTTAGGAAACCCAGGTTCCAATCCATATATAAAATATTCATTGGAGCAAAGTGGAACAGCTTAAACTCTCATCCAGAATACCCTACAGCCCAGCCCACCTCAGAGGGGGAGACCTGGGTTCACAGGCAGAGTGAGGATTTGAACTGGCTCTAACTGCTGGGTATAAGGGTGTGGTGTCCAATTTGTGTGAGAAAGGGTTGACCTGGTTTAGGTATCTCACTGCAGGACAAGGTTCATGGCCTGTGCATTGAGAATTCGCCCCCCCCCCCCCTCCAGCCCAGAGTTAGGTACCTAAGCCCCTTTGAGGGGCAGGGATTAGGCCATGTCCCTCTTGGCATTTCCTATTGGCTAGTTTGTTGGCTTCCTGCTCTGTTTTCTGGCTTTGTGAATTCCATCCTTTTGATGCATATCTCTCTCCCTGTGCATTGTATAGGGAGTCAGGGCATCTAACTCTGGGCTGAGGATTCCACTGGACGGCAGGGCACCTAAAGACAAGACACTGCATCGCTGAGCCTAAGCCTTTGTGGATATAATCCTCAGCCTCTAGCAGGATCAGACCTGAGATTAGCTCACCAGTAGTAGTATATGCACAAAAGAGTGTAGTTCCACTTGGCTATGAAAGCATGGCACAGCAGGAATTTACTGTTATGTTGCAAAGAAGCTTTATGCTACATCCAGCCTAAAATGTTCCTCTGACTCTTGCAGTGCATCCATTCTCACCCACCTTGTCTCTAGTTGAGAATTGTCAGAGATCTGGCATTTTGGAGTTTGTGTGTGTGGTGGGTTCTTCTTATTTGACCATACTTGGTACAAAAATGAAGTGGAATCACCTTAGCACTTTCATTTTAAAATTAAAAAAACACTCTCTGGCCCCTTGTCAGAGAAGCAATTTGTGATTTAGTCCTAAGTGGAACACAGGATCAGGTCCAAGAGGTGAATATAGCTGGACCGCGTGGTAATAGTGACCATAATATAATTAAATTTAACATCCCTGTGGTGGGGAAAACACTGTAGCATTTAAGTTCAGAAAGGGGAACTACACAAAAAGGAGGTTAGTTAAACAGAAATTAAAAGATACAGCACCAAAAGTAAAATCCTTGCAAGCTGCATGGAAACGTTAAAGACACCATAATAGAGGCTCAATTTAAATGTATACCCCAAATTAAAAAACATAGAGAATAAAAAAAAGAGCCACCAAAAGAAGCACTGAGAGGC